GGAGCCGTACTACTCGCGGAAATCATAGAATCCGTAATCAACAACCTCAACCTAGGGCAAGTTAAAACATATCTTTGGACAGATTCGACCATCGTACTCGCATGGATACGAAAGCCGCCTTGTTCTTGGTCAACTTTCGTCGCACATCGAATTACGAAAATAGTAGAAAAGGTCGGTAACAAGGACTGGTTACATGTAGACTCGGCTTCTAATCCAGCCGACTTGGCTAGCAGAGGATTGCCTGCGTCAGAGTTGGTGACCAATTTTTTGTGGTGGCAGGGACCTTCTTGGTTGCAAGAAGACAACTCTAAGTGGCCCGCTCAAGAAATTACCTATCACACAGAAGTTGAAGAAAAAAGAGCGCACGCTTATGCATCAACAAAAGAAAACAATATCGATATTCTTGACCGATTTTCAGATCTACCGAGAGCTTTGAGAGTGTTATCATACGTCATGAGATTCTACCGAAGAACTCACCCGAAAACAAAAGCTTCATTTCAGGAAACTTCTTGTTTAATTTCATCAGAAGAAATTAAGACGACGACACATCTCTTGATAAAAATCAACCAGAAGCAACACTACGGTGAAGAATACAGGAATTTGAAAACTAGAAAACCCATCGATGCAAAGAGCGAAATCCTTCCGCTTAATCCGTTCGTCGACAAGCACGACATCATCAGGGCTGGAGGTCGCCTCGGAGCATCCCAGGACTTAGCTTATAATGAGCGCCATCCAATCATTATTCCGTATAACTGCAGATTGTCCCGTCTTATCGTCCTGATGATTCACCAAGTCTCCTTACACGGAGAAAATCAGCTCATGTTACGCCTTATTCGTACTCAGTACTGGATTCCCAGGGTAAAAAACATGATTAGGTCTACCATCCACAATTGTAAAATTTGTACCATCTACAAAAAACGATCCCAGACGCAAATTATGGGAACTCTTCCTCAGGAACGCACAACATTTACGCGTGCGTTCACGAATACGGGAGTAGACTTCACGGGACCCTTTGAAATTAAAAGTTACCGTGGTAGAGGTTGTCGAATTTCCAAAGGCTATGTTTGCCTATTTGTTTGTTTCACCACTAAAGCGATTCACTTAGAAGCCACCAGTGACCTTAGTACCCCATCCTTTCTAGCAGCATTTGCTCGGTTCGTGGCTAGAAGAGGATGCCCGAAGAATATCTATTCCGACAATGGTACAAATTTTGTCGGAGCTTCGCGATCTTTACGATCTGAATTCAAAGCTTTTTTGTCTGACGCGCGAGACAAAACGATTTCCAAATATAACCATCAAACACTTGAGTGGCATTTTATACCTGCTGCCGCTCCTCACATGGGAGGACTCTGGGAGGCAGGTGTAAAGAGCTTTAAAAGTCACTTTAAAAAGGTGGCGTCCGCTCACAAATACACCTTTGAAGAGCTCAGTACGCTTTTATGCCGGATTGAAGCATGCCTCAATTCGCGACCACTGAGTCCCTCTTCAAATGAGCCAAATGATCTGGAGCCGCTTACTCCAGGCCATTTTCTCACTGGTGGACATCTTATGGCTCCGCCAGAACCTGATGTGAATGAGAACCCTGCCTCCATCGTCAATCGATGGCAAAAACTAAAAGCACTGCATCAGATGTTTTGCAGGCGATGGAAAGTGGAGTACTTAGCCGAACTACAAAAGCGAATTAAATGGAAGCACCCCAAGGAGAATATGAAAACAGGTGATCTCGTTGTTATACGGGAAGACAATCTGCCTCCAACTGAATGGAGATTGGGGCGAGTTGTCAACTTACACCCGGGTACCGATGGTAGGGTGCGCGTAGTGGACATACTGACGGAGAAAGGTCAAGTTACCAGACCACTAGTGAAGCTGGTTCTCCTCCCACCATACAGCGAGGGAAACTCGGAGCCAACAACCACGTCATAAATCGCCCTTCTTCACCCATATCGTATTCCACTTCCTGTTACAACGAAATTCCACTTCAATGTAATAGGAGTGATGCCACGTATCAATAGTTGAAAAGGTTACAAGGGAATTATTTTTAATATTTGGAGGTGATGGTTCTTACTCGGGGCTCTCCCGAGTTGATCTGGTTAAAGACAAACGACCATCGTCAGATCAATAATCATAATAGTAATAAATCGCAGAGTAGCGAACTACTCCGCCTTTGAATAAGAAGCAAACAGTAGAAAACTAGCAAGTTTTTCTTTTTTCAAATTCTTTAAAATTCAAGCTTGCTGGTTTTCTATCCACTTTATTTTGGGGAGATTACAACCACCCCACCCCGAAATGAACCAGTTAAAATAATAATAATTATAAGGTTTAAACTCACGATTATTTGCTCCCGGTACGTTCTTGATAGACGAAATCGTGGTCTGCTTTCTCTAGTAGACGCGTCAGGATTTTAGACGTCATGCTTAGACGTTTAACCGCTTGTTCTCCTTATTGCAACAACCCTTTATAAAACAAAAGAAAAAACAATTAGGGCTCAAATAAAAAAGTCAGCAAAGGTAAAAAACAAACGGATGGAGCTTTACTTGGAATGGCCACCACCGAATCTTCAGATCCGACGCTCGCAGTAGACTTGGTACTATCCCTGTTAGGTGCTGATGCTTCATCAACTTGATGCATTTGTGAAGGACGTTGTTCATGCTCTAACGTCACCATACTGGTATCGCAACTGCTCGGACGACGTAATTTAGTGTTAAGTCTCGGTTCCTTTAGGTTCTTCTCTGATTTCAATTTGGCAGCACGTTGTGCGTTACAAATGAAGTTTCATTGCAACTGGTTTGCAATATATCATTCGGAACGTTGGCGATACTTGGGACTGGCGGGGGATTCATTTGTGGAGTTTGCACAATGGCATCGTCAATTGCCTCTTCCATGGCTACAACCGTGGCCAGAAGTTTAGAGTTACTAGTACGTGCCGAAATGCGAGACGGCGAAGTTTTTTCAGGATTAGAGTCGGCTGTATCGCTTTCATTTACTGATGTAGCTCATCGAAAAATTCATCACTAGCTTCAACTATTTTCAATAATTCTTCCATATTTCGTTCTTTGTCCTGCAAAACACCTTGCCTCAGATTTACTTTTCATGAAATTTATTTGCGTGCCATAAGTCAAAATTTCATACATTTCATTTTAAATTGCCCTCAAACCGACCTCACCGTACCGACATCATAACTGAACCACCAATGAATGAATATATATATTAAATTTAAACATGGTCAACAAATACACAGATAGTTAACATTGTAGCCACACACTTAACTCTTTTTTTTTTGTGTTAAATACTTAAATATTGGAAATCTACCTTATCACCCATCTGTCGTGTCCAACCATCGAGATTATCTTGATTGCGTGGGAAACCATCATAAGGACATACTTTGTATATAATTTTTCGAATTCTTCGCCCCAAACCTCATGTAAGCCAGGACATTTATGTGGACACATCAATGACCACTCTCCGTTAGCTTCCACACGTTCCATGAATAAATCTGGTATCCACAAAGCATAAAATAAATCTCTGGCTCGGTGCTCTTCTTTTCCAGTATTCTTCTTCAAATCCAAAAACTCAAAAATATCTGCATGCCATGGTTCCAAGTAAATGGCAAAGGCGCCAGGCCGCTTGCCACCACCCTGATCTACGTAACGTGCAACGTTATTGAATACCCGCAACATTGGTACCAAACCATTTGAAGTGCCATTTGTGCCCGCGATCGCTGTGCCCTTTGCGCGTATGCAATGGACATTTAGTCCAATGCCACCAGCAGACTTGGAAATTAAAGCACATTGGTGGGCAGATGTAAATATACCATCAATGGAATCACCAGCCATAGTCAATAGGAAACAGGATGACAATTGCGGTTGGCGAGTGGCAGCAGCAAAGAGTGTTGGAGAGGCATGTGTGAAATAGCGTTCCGAAAGCAAGTTATAAGTTTCAATAGCGGCATCAATATCTTCACCATGAATACCAATGGAAACACGCATTAACATGTGCTGCGGACGTTCAACAATTTTGCCATTCAACTTGAGTAAATAGGAACGCTCAAGTGTTTTGAAACCAAAATAATTGTAACCAAAATCACGGTCATATATTATAGCCGAATTTAAGCGGTCTGCATTTTTCTTTACAACATTGTAATGAAAGTCCGATATAATTGGTGTAGGTAGGCCAGTTTCGGCGCTTACATAGTTATACAGATCACTTATAACATCAGAAAATACTTTTCTAGTTTCCTTATGCAAATTGGAAATAGCAATGCGTGCGGCCAAAGTTGCGTAGTCGGCATGTTGCGTTGTTAGACTAGCTGCGATTTCGGCTGCCAATTTATCGAGTTCCTGTGTGGTAACGCCGCAATACAAGCCATTGATGACCTTTAGCGTAATGGCCACCGGATCAACAAAATCCATGTTGAGTCCATAGCAAAGCTTCTGCACACGTGAAGTAATTTTATCAAAATGTATGTCCTCCTTTCGTCCATCTCTTTTTATTACATATAGTTTAGGTGACTTCATTTTGCAAAACCTTCAGCAATTAATCTTCCGGCACAAATAGATAGCACCAAAATGAGGAAAATTTTCTAGTGGAATGTAAATTAAAAAAAACTCAATGCAATTAGTTTGCGCTCAAATTCCTTATAAATTTCGGATATACCTTTATCAGTGCGCTGTAAATTTTCTAGAAAGTTTGGCGTACCAGGCTTATGCACATGACCAGTCGTGTCCAGACCCAGGAGATGTAAGAAGAAAATTACTTTTTCTGGCCTCCTTGGGCTTCTTTATATTTCGTGCCCATAAAATTTTTTCATCAGCTGGATGGTGTGCAGACTTTTCGGCTTATTTGCTGGAAAGTAACACCAGCAGAAATTATGCCAAGCAACCTCCTGTAATTAAGAAAGAATTACATTGAAACATATATAATACTATTATTTTACGCATACTCACCTAACCTCCAGATTATACAACCGCCGCGTGCCAGAAAGTCTTATAATTGAAAAGAGATATGAATTCGCCGTGTATGTATACGGATTTTCATTGAATTCATTCTGACATTTTTTGCAATGAAAAAATGTACATATGTACATATGTATACGCTTTCCATTGCATAAATTCGCCTTGAATGGCTTCTGACATTTGTACCTATGTACATACATACACACATTCCACAAAGTGAACGTAGTAAGGTAGCTCGAATTAGTGAACCGTTTCGACATTCAGTTCACTCGCTAGTTGCAATAAAATAAATACTTTTATAACTGCTTAAAGATGCATTGTCATAAGCAAATATCAATGCATTAATTTTTTATAAGTCTATCAGACATTTTGATGTAAATTTCATAAGCAAACATGATATTTATGTATTTTATAACCAAACGGTTCTGCAATTATACTTACGAAATCTGCTGCATATGAGCTACCCTGTTTTAGCCGAGTATCGCCTACAGCGGCATCCAAATTTTTTATTTGGGTGGCAGGCCAGTTGTAGGGTTGCGAGAATGGCTAAAAACTCTCCAAATGTCGATTAATACGTTTTTCGACAGCTTCATTCAATGAAGTTTGAATGGATAATGACGAAATTACAGTTCAAGTTATTCAAAAAAAAAAAAAAAAAACTTAATTGTATGGATAACACCACTTTGGCACTATAAGGTCTAACTATTTAGAAGAAAAATTCATTCAAAACTAAATCGTGTGGTATAAATAATTTGTATCTTGTCATGCATCCCTGTATGTTGGAATGCATGTGGGCGATCCAGTTGTCATTTTCATGGATCGCAACTCAACCATTAGACCCTATTCACATGCGGAAGTTTATGAAATACAATTAGTAACCACATAATGCCACATTCACACTTACAGAATCTTGTTTGTATCTCATAAACAAAAATTTGTCATGCCAAATGCATAGAGAATTTCCGCCTAAATTACTCGCCACCCAACAATATTTAAATAAATGGTTCCCGGTTCGAACGGATCGTAAAAATATTCCCATTTATTGCAGCAACTATGACTCGCTTCACCCAATTGCGCAAAAAAGCGGCACAACACGCACATCGCTATCCTCAATCGTGTCGCTTATGCAACGGCAAACACCCGATTAGACTGTGTCCGGTCTACAGGGCAAAAAATCCTGAGGAGCGACTTCGCGAAGCAATACTTGGCAAGTATTGTATCAACTGCCTCGCAATGACCCATCGAGCGGAAAACTGTACTAGTGCGGAGAGATGCCGCCGGTGTCATGACAAGCATCACACCACCATTCATCTGGACCCCATTGATAGGAGACCCTGGAGTCGACAGGTGGACGAAGAAGAAGACGAATTGGACGTGATCTCTATCTGTGCATCCGAATCCGGAACGGAAACTCGGTCTTTCCGTCCGGAACTGGAAACTGGAGACGGTATTGAATCCGGAGCGGAGACTAGGACTCTCTGCCCGAACAATGACAGGGGAGCGGAAACTCGGACTTTCCAACCTCCACTTCATCACACGACTCAAAGAGTGGCTGCATTGGAAACTAGGTCTTTCCGATCACGCCAACATACGCGACGAACCCGCGGAGCGGAAACCGGGTCTTTCCGCCCGCACCAGCTAACCCCGGGCCCAACTGACCGTCGTGATCAGGGAGGAATAGTGGCACGATCTCGCCAACTCAGAGCACCGAACAACTTCCGAATGGGTCTTGTCAGTGCCATGAGACAAACCGAGGTGCTACGACCTATGGTGTCGATTTCACCCACGGCAATAATCAAAGTCGAGGCAGGAGGAAGACTGCACCTTGTTCGGGCACTGATAGATGCTTGTGCACCATCAAGCGTAATATCGAGCGACCTTTCTAGGGAGCTGGGCTTAAAGGTAACCCGGTCGGGGAAACAAAGAGGCTGCCTATTGAGTATTCGAGGGAAGCACGGGGTAAATAAGCAGCTGGCAACCCATGCACACATAATAAAAAATTATCGACGAATATCGCCGCCTAGAAATGTCGACCCGGCC